TCTTCATCCAACCCCTCTTTCTCCTGCAGTTTCTCTTTTCTACTTCCTCCTCTTCCCTTTCTCTCTCTCACTTGTTCTCTTTTTCTCTCAATTTCCCTGCTTGTGACTCCACATAGTAGATAGGCGTCAAGAGATAGGCTAAGATCCAGAATAATTGCTTGTTGGAATTAGCCCATGAGCTGCCAAGGAATAGGTTAAGGATCACGTTGCCCATTCCTTCCATGAACCAGTATGAAACTCCACTGTACTCAAAAGATTTGATTCTGTGACATTGTAGGCACGATTGCAGAATTAATGTTTCTGTACTGAAATTGCCAAGGGAACTAGATGTGTTTAGCCTAACGAAGGGAAGGCTTAGGGGAGACCCGATAACTGTCTTCCAATACTTGAAGGGTTGTCATAGGGAAGAGGGGGTGGATTTATTCTCCATAGCATCTGACTGCAGGACAAGGGTGAAAACTTGTCAGAGGGAGATCCAATCTGGAAATTAGGAGGAATTTCCTGACAGTGTCTGCTGGCAGCATCTCACCCTCTGTCTGCTTACTGATTTAAGTTCTCAAGAAACTCAAGGGAAGGGACACACAACCTGGAGAATTTTTGATCTGTAAATATGCAATTTTAAAAAGCCTTCTCAAATGGCTCAAATAAAATAGAAGAAATAAGTAATTATAGAATCATAGTGTTGGAAGGGATCTTGGAGGCCTTCTAATCCAACTCCCTGCCCTTATACCATCCTGGACAAATGGTTGTCCAATCTTTTCTTGAAAACCTCCAGGAGTGAAGCACCCACAATTACAGGAGGCAAGCTATTCCACTGATCATTTTTTTTCAGTGTCAAGGAATTCCTTCTTATTTCCAGATTGGATCTCCCTCTGACAAGCTTCTACCCATTGCTTGTTCTGCACTCAGGTGCTATGGAGAATAAATCCAACCCCTCTTCCCTATGACAGCCCCTCGAGTATTGGAAGATGGCTATCAGGTCTCCCCTAAGTCTTCTCTTCATTAGGCTAAATATACCTAGTTCCATTAGTTGTTCATCATACAATTTAGCTTCCAGATCCCTTACCTTCTTTGTTGCTCTTCTCTGCACTTTTTCTAGGGTCTCAACATCTTTTTGTATCATGGTGACCAGAACTGGACTCAGTATTTCAAATGTGACCTCACTAGTATAGTATAGAGTGGCACTATCACTTCCCGTGATCTTGATGCTATCCCTCTACTGACTCATACTTAAGTGGTAGTCCACCAAGACACCTTAGATCCTTCTCACAGGTATTACTGTTGAGCCAGATACTAAAATAATTTATATGTCCCTATATAAATGGGGACATAAAATAACCCAGAACATATATCAGGGAGCAGTACTTCAGTAATATTCTTCATAAACTCACAAAACAACATGAAATTTAAGAAATCAGAAGAGTGCTGTGAGCTCAGATTAAAGACCTATCCAGTCCAGTATTCTGTATCCATGGTGGCCAACAGGAGTCTGATAAGCCTAGAAGCAAGCAGGAGGGGAAAAGCTGTTTTTTACTCACAAAAGGCAGACTGCCACTGATCCTGTCTCTGAGCAATTGTTACCTATCAGTAGTGATCACTGACTGATAGCCGTATCCTCCCTCAGAATCTATGAAGATTCTCAATTATCCAGGTTGCCCCAAAGGTGCTATTCCAAAAAGCGGCTGGACTTGGATAGTTTTTTTTCCTTGAAAAAGTTTCACTTTCTCATCCAAGAAGCTTCTTCAGTTCTGTTCAGTTCACTTCAGAACTGAAGAAACTTCTTGGATGAGAAAGGAAAACATTTTCAAGGAAAAAACCTAAGAAAATCCAGAAAAGCACCTTTGGGAACCTCCATCAGAATTCTTACTTTTCTTTTAAAGCTGTTCCTTTTCCTTTGTCTTGAGTAGCAAATTCCATAATTTAGTTCAAAACTTTCAGAAAATAAATATTATAGTTAATCTGCTGTCCCTCCTTTTGATATTCCCTAAAAACTCAAAATTAGTAATGTGTGTATAAGCCAATATAATTTTTTCTTCTATATGGTATAGTTTGGTTCTTAAGAACAGATTTCACCAGTTTGCCAACATGAGATACTTAATTTGGATTTCCTTCCCTCAAATTCCCATCATTTTTTAAAAATAGCATTACATTGATCTCTTTTCCAAACTTTCAGAGCATCTTATATTTCGTTAACCAATGAGCAGAGACTTGATCAAGCAATTTGCCTGCCATCAATTTGTCAACTCCTAGAACTGCATTTCCAGTCACCATTATTTATCACACTATCTTGAAGTATTTTCCTGAAAATTTAAGTTGAGACTAGAGCTCTCTCTTACATTTTATGTCATGAGAAAAGCTCTCAATTCATCACAAATATTTTCTGCGTCATCGTTATTCTTTTAATTCTATATTCCAACCATCCTCCTACAAGATTTTTGCTTTCTAATATCTTTGGATATATTCAATTGCGTCTTTTAATATAACTTGTTGTTTTTAAATCGTATTATGAAATTGCATTTCTTTTGCATGGGATTGTACTCCTTTATATTCTTCTCATTTAGATAAATCTTCCCATTCTTTTCTCTTGTTGATATAATTTCCAAACATTTTGGAGAATTTTTTCTTTTTTCCTTTTTTCAACATCCTTTTTACTAATCTGCTGATTTTTGAAGAAGCGCTTGGTTGAGAATGTTGGTGTGGAAATTCAAAAACACAGGAAAATAAAACTCCCCCTCCCTTTTCCACTTAAAGAATAGGAGCAGCTTCCTAGACACCCAAAGGCCCTATGAAATAAAAGACCAAAGGCCCTATGAAATAAAAGACTTTGGGATAGGTTGGGCTCCTGCAAAAAAATATTCCCTAGGGGGTAGGCCAGCCACTGAGAAGGCCTCCCTCTGGTACACACCCACCTTGATGGGAGGAACCCAAAACATTTAGGGTTGCCAGGTCTGCTTCCAAAAAATAGCAGAAAAGTGGGGGAAAGGGGGGGTGTTAAGTAGTAAAAAAATAAAAAAAAATTACAATTAAATTATATATTTTCTTACAAACATTTTAACACGTATTAAAATAATCACTTCAAAACTTTACTTAAAATTCAAAACATCAAATATATTATAATATGTAAAATATTATACATTTTACTTTGCTGTTGTGTGTATTTTTTATTTGACTGCGCAGCTTTGATCAATTCTTTGTGTTTAAGGAATAATTCTTTAATTTCAGTACAACGTTGAGAAATATTAAAAAATATACAAAATTCACTTTGAACTGATACAAGCAGTCGGTTACGTTCGTCAGTCCACAAATTTCCCATGACGCTGAAAATTCGTTCAACATTTGCATTTGATACTGGAATTGATGCACAATACTGGAACAGTTTCAGTAAACTCGGAGCTGGCTCTTTCTTGAAAAAGTACGTCCACTTATCAAGGGATGAATTGCCCTGCAGATGAACACAAACTTCTTCTAAAGCAGAAATTTCATCGAAGATAGTGTTGGGTGGAAGTTCTTCTCGCCATGGTGATAATAACCAGATGTTCGTCATTTTTTCTAAAGTTGGAGATTATTGCGATCAATTAGATTGAAACAACTTAGCGTCTCATATACTGAATCGGTGAAATTATACCACTTTTCTAGGTACGGAATGGCTCTTTGATACACGTTGATGGCTTCTTTCTTGAACTTTTGCACGGCATTCTCAGGCAAATGTTTTTTACGTGAGGCAAATAAAACTTTCATTCCAAAAAACTGCTCATCGTATTTTTTTTGCAAAGAATCACACAGCTTACACATGATAATGTGAAGATCACATGCAAGAATTTTCTTGCTTTCCAGCTTCAGTAGGGTGTCTTGCATTATTGACATAAAGAAGTGCGTGAAATATAAATACAATTCTGAAATTGTTGGTTCATCGTCCTTTGCGAGTTCATTTTCCTGATCCAAAATAAGGTTCCAGATAACCTTATGGCACTCATCAGATCCAAGAGAAATAAAATACTATTTTAGAGGTATCCAGTTTAAAAGAAGTCTTTCGACCGCTTTAAACAAACTTAACCAACGTATTGGAACATGGCGCAAAACTTCACGGAATTCTGACTCGCAAAACTCAAAAAATGATTTCAACTCTTCTCGTTTCTTCGCAGAATTCGAAAATTCGGCAAAAACCTTCAGCACTACATTTTCGATATCAAAAGATAACTGCTTTAATGCATTTTTTGCGCTGTTGTGTAAAATGTGATTATTGCATTTTTATGCAATAATTTAATGCATTATTGCATTAAAGCATTCGATCTTTGTCTCATTCTAATTTATGAAAAAAAAGACAAAACACAATTCTCCTATCCTTATTCTCTTAGACTGTGCAGCTTTAGATTACGTACCATTTCATCATAAAGCTTTTGAATAAAAAAAATGTCCACTATTTTGTGAAAAAAAATAGTGAACATAATGTGAAAAAACTAGACTGTCCGCTCAAATAGTGGACACCTGGCAACCCTAATAAACATACCTTCCTGGTTGTGTAGGTGGATACAGTTGGAAGGAGATTCATGTCCTTCACAAATCTGAGCAACCCCATTTATAATTAAAATGGTAAAACTTTTATCTATGTAGTTGATCATGAGCTGGTTCACTTCTTTTTTGAGATCAGAATAGGAATTTATCCAGACCAAGGATAATTATAGACCTCTATTACTATAACTGTTTCTTCACCCCAGTCCCTGAACACCTCCCAGATTTAATTCCTGGTCTCACAGTCATCTTGGTTAAGGGGGAAGTTTAATAACTTTTGGGTTGAGAATTACATTCAGTCCCACAATGAGTCTGTGAAATAGTGTGAACTTGTCTAGTTGGTTTGATACTAAAGCTTCAATGATCTGTATTCTTCCCATTTTTAATGTCTGCATTTGGAATCAATCAAAGTTTCCAGCTAAACATTCTGTAAATTATATGTATTACGGTTATCTATGCATATGTGACAGTGGTTTGATTTCTTTCTCCAGAGAGAGTACCAAATAAAGACTTGCAAAGATACTGGTGGCCACAGCTCTCAATCAGGAGCAATAAGGAGCCTAAGAACATACCCAGACTACAAAGGAAGTGCAATCTCACTGAGAACAAGCTGTATCTCTAACCTCAAATTGGCTAACTTTCCAGCCCTTTCATGATTGACAAAAGCTACTTTGAACTTCAGTTCCATTGCTTTACATTCTCCATTACCTCATTTTCTTCTGAACTTCAAAAACAAGGTGATGTTTGGATCCATGTAGGCTCCTCATGCTGTGCAAACCCTAATTCCCCAAGATGTTAGAATCCCCGTAGGAATACAAAGGCCCTAGTTTCAGAAGTCTTCATCAACATGAAGAAAGGTTTGCAGAGAGCAGGATTAATACAAAGATTATGATGCCTCTTCTTGAGCCTTAGCTAAACTTAGTTATTGGACACCTGCTACTGCTATTTTTATTTATTAGCATCCCATTTTTATTATTTTTCCAAATAACTCAAGGTGACGACATATCCAACACGCCTTCCTTCTCTTATTCCCTCCACATAGGTCTCTCTTATTTTGTATTGCTGTTGGGAATTCTCAAATGAAGACAAAGCTCAAGTTTGTACTTTTTGACACCAGATTAAAAGGCTTCTGTTCTATTATTTGATACTTCTTTGGAGGGAGGCAGCTACTGCTTGAGTTTAAAAAATGACTTGAGATTAAGAATCAGGTTTAAATGTTTCTTTAAAATTAAGGTGAGATGAAATTTTGATCATGAAGTTTCCCTGCCTTATTCAGCAAATTGTGTGCCTTTTCTACCTTCATCCTAAACTTCCCCATGTATTCCTATTCTCTTCCCAGAAAACATCCATTAAAAATGTTTTAGTTGAACAATGTGAACTTGAGAGTATTCTGGTTAGATCCATCTGTCTTGATACTGCAGCAACCTGTCAGATTATCAGAAAGGACCGCTGTCCTAGCGGTATCAATTTAGTATTACTTTACTGTCAGAATTTTATTCATTATCTTTTGATTGCGGTTGGGGGCAATGTCCTCTATTAGAGAAATACAATGAACGTAGCACAGCCTTTCCTGATAGGTTTCTTCTAAATATTTAGGGATTATAATTCTCAGAATTCCCAGCCAGCATTCAGAGAACACCAGAGTTGGGGGCAGATTGACAAGCTGGTGTCCTCCAGATATTTTGAATTGCAGATTCCATAACCTTTGACATTTACCATGATGGTTGGATTGATGGGAATCATAGTTCAGACATCTAGAAGAAATCAGGTGTCTACCTTTGACTGGAGAAAGTTCTGTTCATTACGGATAATAGGATATTGGTTAATGAATGTTCATGGCTTTAATATTCCTCTGGCGGGCTTGCACAGCACACTTGAAGAATGAAATGGGTGACAAGTTTATGATTCTGTGTGGTTTTGGTTATAACATGTTGTCTAAACTGGACCAACATGCTAGGTCAGTGATGGTTAACCATTTTGGTGCCAAGTGGCCAAAGCACCCATGCGCGCATGAGAATGTTCCCGCGTGTGCCGAACCCCAAAATGCAATGTAAGTGCCCCCGCACATGCCCTGCCTCACCCTGTGCATGCACGCATGTCCCCCGTGCATGCACCCCACCCCTCTGTGCCCTGTTTTGGCTTCCAGGTTGATGCAGGAGGCTTTCCAGGCCCAAAATGGGGCGAATGCCCACGCGTGTGCTCAAACCCCCAAAGTGCAATGTGAACATCCCCTGCATGCGCTCCCCCACGCATGTGTGGCAGGGACCTGAAGACCAGCTGGCCAGCGGGAGGTACGCACGTATGCACAGTGGAGCTGGGCTGGGGCATAGCTGGTGTGCTCGCGGAGAGGGCTCTGTGTGCCCCCTGTGGCACCCGTGCCATAGGTTCGCCATCACGATGCTAGGTCTTTGAATTTTATATTTGTTTTAATCTAGTCCGTGATGGTATGTTGCAAGAATCAAGCCTATGTATCATACCCCAGATGGCATCCCAAATTAGATTTGACCGGTCGAAGCAGATTATGAAGTTGGTGAGATACCTAGACATTGTTTATAGATTCATACTCTTAGTAAATGCATTTGCTTTGTATTTATTTGAAAAGATACGTCCTTTTTTTTTAAAAAGGATCATTATTATTATTAACATTTTCAAAAATCTTTGGAAATTTTTCCTCAGAAGGCAAATTATGCTAAAACATTGTCCTGGCTATTAGAGAAGCAGATTAGTGTGCATTAAAGAAGTCCAGGGGATGATGCAGAGGAGGCCTCATCATTTAAAGGAAATATTTTTACCTGAAACTCATTACTTCGACACTTTGATGGGTGAAGCAGCATCTACTTGTCTGACAAAGAAGAGGTTTAAAACAGGAGTGGGGAAATACCTATCCCCCCCCCATCTGCCACAAATGAGGAGGCAGGCAGGTTTGGAACCAAAGATGAGCAGAAGCACCCTCCTGTTATTTCTATGTGCCATAACTTTTCTCTTAACGCTTCAGAACTGCACAGAAAGAGCAGGTGACAATTATCTGGCTTGTGAACAAACAGTTATTTCCTCTGCGTCACTCCATGGCTCACTTTCGGCTTTTCTTTTGCTTTTCTCTCTCTAAACTCCTCCCAACAGTACTAAATTAGACCAAAGGCAAGATGAAGTTAGGCTGAGGGCTGCTTGTGGTCTTTAGCTGCAAAGTGTCTGTCCTGGTTTAAGAGAAACAGATGGAACTTCTTAAGTGGATCTTTGTTTAATCCGTTTAGTATTGTGACTGACCAAGTGCCTCTGGAAGTTCAGAAGCAAAATAGGGGGGGGGGAAACCCACCCCTGGCGATTCTGGTTATATGCTGCCTATATTCAGTTCCTCTGAGGTTGTCAGGTTTTACAGCTACACAGGAAGCTACCAAAGATAAGGATGCTTATACACAAGGGGGGGGCTTAAGTTTTATTTAATTTACACCACCCGACTCTTAACCAATTCTGGGCAATGTATAATAAAACCAAGCAAAATAAAAGTAGAATAATTATGAAAGAAAGAAAAAACAAGAACTGATCGTGGATCCGACTAACCATACCCACACCGATTGGCAAGGAGTCCCAAGTGTCCCAGCCCAAGGCCTAGAACAGCACGGTCTTCAAGGTTTTCTGAAATGCCAGCAGGATGGGAGCCACAGGGATATCAGAGATAATAACCTCATTTTACTTGCTCTGATTTTGTTACTTGGTTTCAAATAGCCGCCTTCAGGTTGGCGTTTTTGAGCATAACTCCCATCTTCCCCCAGGAGCGCAAACAAATGTTACCTAATACAGGTAGTCCTCAATTTACGACAATTGATTCCAAAATTTATGTGGCTAAGTGAGAAATTTGTTAAGTGAGTTTTTACAGGGACTTAGGGTCTTTCCCCCCTTGCTGTTAACTATGGGACAAAGTATATCCTGGCTGGTAGCATTTATTTTTTTCTACGAAGCCCCTAGGATGCTACCTTACCAAGGGCATTCTCAGATCCTCTGAAAGGAAACCAGGCAGCTGCTGTGACTGAGGCCAGAGGCAAGATTGGAATTGGGAATGGGCCCATTCCATGCCCATAGAGATTTTTTTGCTGATTCTGGGATGGAGAAACAGTATTTCTAATCAGTACAGGAAAGACCCTTAACATGTTAAGTGAACTCAGCCAGTTTTTGACTTAGTTAATAAACATGGCTAAGAATGAGCTATGAAACCCATCCAAAGCATGCTTGAGGAAATTCAGTTTCAGTCCCATCATAAGCAGAAAAATCACTGATGGCTTTCTCAAAGGTTGATCATGGTTAAGGCCAAAGGTGGGTATTTTTGATCTGCATGGTTGCATCACCATCATTACTATTAACCAATTTTTGAAAGAAGTTTGGGCAGAGAAGAGAGGCTGACCCTAAGGCATTTATTTATTTATTTATTTATCAATTTTATACAGGCGCCCATCTTACTGAAAGCAACTCTGGGTGATGTGCACAACAAATCTTCCTGTGAAATTCATGACTAAATGGGGATTTTTGAACCGGGGTTTCCCAGTGTCTGACACATTGCCTTTCTGCATTACGTTCAGTGTAATAAGGGGAGTCCGTTAGTAAATTTTCATTACTGCACACATGGACACACACATACCCACAATGCTAGTGCAGAAAAACACACTTTAGGGGGAAGGAACATAATCAGATGTGTATATTGTTATCTGAGAAGAAAGCACGCTATAAAATGAGTTGTCAGTTCTGAGAAAGAGATCAGAGAGAAAGATAGAAAGAAAGAGGAAAGTAATTTGGATGCCTCCATTTCTTAATTTCAGAGTAGTTTTAGACTAGGAGTAATGTTGTTAGGATCAGGGAAGACAACTGCACACATAAAATGTTCTCTTACAGGCATGGCTATGTCTAACTGATGATACATAAATATGGAAAGTATATTTCTACCCTGAAGTATCCATGATATACAGTACTTATCATTTATTATCCAGTCTTTTGAAAGGAGAATTGTTAATCCACCAGAGTAATGCTACTGTCTCCTCTGTTTTGTGCAGGCAGGATATTGTTCTATGGAAAGGGGATTTTTCTGATCAACTTATTAAGAGCATCATTTCAACTGATAAAATTGGGATAATCCAAAAGAGAGAAATATTGGGTACATTTTTACTTTTTTAATCAGTTCTTGCATCCTTAACTACTGCAAAAAGGCTTGGCCAGTTCAAAATTTCACTGTCACATCTTATGTCTATGACAATCACCTACAGAAAGCAAGAATCACACAAACTATTGTTTGCAATTTCAGCATATAAATTGAAGATATTTATCAGAAGATATAAAATGATGAGAATAAAGAAAAGATTAATGAGAAATCATGTTATAAATAAAATAGTGGGAGACAAGAGCAATTTCTCAAATTATTTTTTTCAAATAGAGAAAGGGTTTTGATAAAGTAGGATGAAAGTTTATCAAGAATATGAATTATTTCACCTGGTAGATTCGTTGGTTGAAATATAAGCAGACCTTATAAGGAATAATGGGAAATTTAAAACACAGTTCAGGAACAATAATAACAAGCTGGAATATGTCTAGAGGACAGAGAAGGGTGACAACGATGGTAAGGAATTTAGAGTATGAGAGAAGTGCGAGAAAAGTTGTAGGTGATGGTACACTTTCCTTTCTCACAGAAGAGAGAGAAACTGGGTAGCTAATAAATATTATATCAGTAAATTTTCTGCAATGGATTGTTCCAACAATGAACCCATGATTAGACTAGCAGAATGCCCCAAGAGACTGCTGATTCAAACATTATAGCCTGTAAATTGTGCCATCTGGGGAGACATTTTGAAAACCATTTATTTTGAAAATTCCATATTACCCAAGGAAATGGAAGAGTTTTCAGGGAAAATTAGTCTTTACCTCATCATATGCTTTACAAGTTCTGTAGGGCAATTTAAAATTAAAATCCTTAAAAATCCAATGTTTCATAAGTGAAGAAACAGATTCCAAAGTTCCAGGTCCTATCATCCCTCTAAGCAATTGTTTTTGCAGCCTTGGCAAATTTAAAAAGTATGGACATCAGCTTCCAGAATTCCCCAGCCAGCATGGATGGCTGGGGAATTCTGGGAGTTGAAATCCACATGAGTGAAAGTTGCCAAGGCTGAGAAACACATACTAAATAATAATACTTGATTGCAACAATAGTATTGTTATACCTAGTATTTTCTGTTTTGTTTGACAGCCTCTTTTTTTTTTTTAATGTAGGTTTTATCGTTTGCAGAAGAAAGTTCTAAGAGAAGACAATGGATTACTCCAGTCAGGATTCTGCCCCACAATACATAGAGTCCTCTCATTTGCAAGGAAATGACGATTCAGACCTTTTCTTTGCGAGTCCTGAGGGAGTTGATTGCAATGCTGTGCCCACATATTTCTCTCGTATGCCCGAAACCTACAGACACTCTCCAGGTAGGTGTGAATGTAACAACTGGAAGGCTTTGCTCCATTGAGGCCATGGATGCTGTGATTTTTGGAAACCGATCTCAGTTTTTAAAGAAAGGCTTGGACACCTCAATTTCGTCTGCAGCTTTTTCCCAATTTAAAGTCATACAGAGGTTTACACTAAAGCCAGTGATGGTGGCCATTGTAGCCTAACACATTGGAGGATATCATCTTAGAAAATACTCTTCTATTCAATCACGGGTGGTTGTGCAAATCTGTTGTGTTGGCAAAATTGCTCACTAAATTTTCAAATGTATTTTTGCTATGTCTTTCTATGCTACAAGCTAGATTTGAGACCCAGCATTATAATTGAATCTAGAGTCTAGCACTTGTAAGCCTTGGCTTAGATTAAATTCTCTGTGTAACAGGATCCTTTTTTATCATAATATTTTTGCTCTTCTACATTAGTCTCAACACTGTTGAGAAATTCTGGCTGCTTGGCTGATATTACCTAAGTTCACACACTATGTTCAGTTTAGTGAGTTGTATAAACACAGCCATTGTAGTTTATAAACCAGAGTTTATGGCTAAGTATGCTGTGTATAGCCAGAAAATGTGATTTATTCAACAAGCCACATTAAAAAAGATTGTGGCTTAGCATCATGTGTAAATCCTAACTGTTATTGTGTTTTCCTGCTGCAAACTTTTCCAAACATAACTAACTGTTAAAGCCTCATCATACTGAATCTAAAAACCTGGAATTCTAATATAAAGAATTTTAGACTCAATAAAATACCATAGAAATGTAGAGATACACATGCACATATGTTTGTATGTTTGTGTATATATATTTGTGTGTGTGGCAACCATGTTTTCTTTTCATTTCCTGTATGGAAATCTGTCAAGCTTTTCTTCAAATGCAATCAAAAGCAGGTGTGTTTGTTGTTCAGATTAGACGGTGGAAACCATGCATAAAACCTTATCTACTAGATATCTTTCATTAGGCAGTGTACTTTTTTCTTAGTCTACATGTGCGCGCACACATGTTCACTATAGTGTTGTTATTTCTTGCATATAATTATATCATCATCATCATCATCATCACCTCTACCGGTACATCTACTACTATTATGTTCCATCTCTACAACAGTGCGGCAATTATACCCTCTTCTCAATGGTTTGCAATGGGGGGACAGCCATCCCTACAGCACAGCAGCCTGGGTCTCCAGTACCTCTGGGAAAACCCACACTGGACTTCCCATCTACACCTCTGCCACGTCCTCCTACCACACCCTGCATTCACCACCCTCTCCCAAGGACCTTTCCCCGGATGGCAAGAGCAGCCCCAGATATTTGGAGATGTTGAAGACAGAACGGATCAGTCCCACTCATGCTGAACTGATGCCCCTCGGGACCTCGACTGGCACAGCCCTAAGTCCTTACACTATGGGACAGGAGTATGGATATTTCCCGATGCCTGGAAGCCCCCTGTCAGCTGGATATTCCCCCAAACTCCGAGGGACAATGCAGCTCTCCCCCAGTGGTGAGATCTTCTGTTGGATATCTTTGATGTTATAAAATAATTGCAGGTTTGGGATACTAGATCCCTAATCACACACTTACCTTATGCTAAAAATGTGTGCTGTACCCACAGCACTAACATACAAAAAAAGAAACTTGAGTGCATTTTTTTGGCTGCTATGGACATGGATTTTAATTTTCCAATGTTAACAAATGTTAACAAATCAGGTTATGCAGCAATTTGGATTTGAGTCCAAAAAAATGCTTTGGAACGGGCTGAGAAATAAACCTAACACCTAACTACAACCTGTGTCTTTTCCAAGGACTGGGCACTGGATTCTCTAATAGCAATAGCAGCATAATAAGAATAAGAAAAAGAGAACAGTGATAGAAACCAGGGGTGAAATACAGCAGGTTCTGACAGGTTCTGGAGAACCAGTAGTAGAAATTTTGAGCAGTTCGGAGAACCGGCAAATACCACCTCTGGCTGGCCCCAGAGTGGGGAGGGAATGGGGATTTTGCAGTATCCTTCCCCTGCCATGCCCACCAAGTCACACCCACCAAGCCACACCACACCCACCAAGCCATGCCCACAGAACCAGTAGTAAAAAAATTTGGATTTCACCACTGATTGAAACACCAAATTCTATCCAAGTATAATTGCCTAGTGTCACTAATTATTACATTATATAATGAGATTAAAATACACATTTCTCGATCTTAATCTTGTTTTGGGTTTTTGAAAGAGATGGCTATTAACCCATAGCTATCCCTATGATTCTAGGCAAAGATTCAGCTATTGAACAGATTTGCAAACAGCTGTTACTTTCATAACCTTGTGCACTCCAATCTTTTTGAAATTAAATCTATTAAATCCATAGGATTACACAAGAGCTCCACAATGTGATTTCTCCCACCTGGAATCTCATGAGGCCAGACCTTTCTTGTTCTACAGTAGTAAAGGTGCTTCATGAATATTGCAACATTAAGAGCAGATGCCACTCCAGAGAAAGTCCATCTGCAGCTAAATGCAAGATGATGCCTGTCAAATGCAGCCAGATGTCTTCTGAAGGCTTTCATGATTGAACAGGTCTCTGTTCAATCATGAACTAGGGGTTCTAGTTCTGAGTGATGAGCCACGGTGGCGTAGAGGTTACAGTGCAGTATTGTAGGCTACTTCTGCTGCCTGCCGGCTGCCTGCAATTTGGCAATTCAAATCTCACCAGGCTCAAGGTTGACTTAGCCTTCCATCCTTCTGAGGTGGGTAAAATGAGGACCCAGATTTTTGGGGGCAATATGCTGACTCTGTAAACCGCTTAGAGAGGGCTGTAAAGAACTGTAAAGTGGTATATAAGTCTAAGTGCTATTGCTAAATGCTATTTAAGCCTTGTATATTCAAAGCAGACTCTTCTTCCTGATTTGATAGCTCATTCTACAAAATAGGTCCTACCAGCTTCTTGCCCTCTCCCAAACCATCCTTCTCCAACACAACATTGTTTCAACAAGAACAACAACCTTTCCTAGAAGTGAAAAATCATATTGTATCCTTCCACCTGAACTATCATGTTATCTTCTCCTTGAATGTCTGTTTCCACCATTTTCCGCAGAGGCACGTGAGTGTGTGAATTGTGGAGCCACAGCCACCCCACTGTGGAGAAGAGATGGCACTGGCCACTATCTTTGCAATGCCTGTGGGCTCTACCACAAGATGAATGGCCAGAACCGGCCCCTCATTCGGCCCAAGAAACGCCTGGTAAGTCAACACTCGCTCTCCAGCAAGTGGATCCTGCTCACCTTCTTAAGAATTCCGTCTTAACATTGCAACTCTCTGCTTATTTAAACAGTGTCATAATTTTGTTTTGTTTTTTAAAAATATGCTCTTTTAAATACAGTAGATGGTTGCAGCAAAACCTGACACCCCCCCCGACCAAGCTAAAAATTGTTGCCCATCCATCCTCAACTCAGAATAAATATCTGCTTGAAACGGAGAATCGTCTGGTCTCAGGAGTGAAGTATCCTGCTTTTATAGGGCAATGTGCTCCTGTGTTGGGAACCATAGGAAAGGCCTTGGCTACTTTCTGCCACATGTCCCTTTCACCTTTCATCATGATGGAACCTTGAGCCAACCCTCTCTTGATGGTCTTACAAGGTGGGCAGTGATAGCTAAAGTCCTCTGATACCACATTGCAGAGGCTTTATAGGTAATAACCAGCTTTATGAATTGGACCGGCAAGATCTTTGACAACCAGTACAGAACTGGGTTTTCAAATACTAGTTGAGAAATATACTTTACCAGATTCTACTGTGAATTTTCTGTATGGATTAAGGAACCTGAGTCTCCGGAAAAGGGCGGCATATAAATCGAACCAATAAATAAATAAACCATCCTGTGGTCTACTTGGGACTTTGGCTTCAAGCACCAGAAATTTCTGTAGATATTTAGATTTTTTAAAAAATTAAATATTCTGAGTTCGGTATTGAAAGAGTGTTATGTAGTTTCCATGATCTGCCATGGTTTTCTTCCAATCAACGGAACAAAATCTCAATGCCTCCTCTTGAGGATATATTTCATGTTAGACTTTTACTTTACTTTACTTTTACTTTTATTTGATTTATATACCGCCCTACTCCCGAAGGACTCAGGGCGGTGAACAGCCAACAATAAAATACATATTTAAAATTTAAAAAGCAGAAATAAAATTGAATTAAATAGTTTGGCCCAGGCAGATTAAAACCCCAATCAATTTAAAACAAATTTAAACTTTGAATATTAAAAATATTAAAAAATATTAAAATTATTAAAATTGTTTAAAAAGAGGGAGAAAGTTAGGCCAGGCCCGCCTGGTGAAATAAAAAGGTCTTTAGAGCGTGGCGGAAGGTGCGCAGATCCGGGATCCTCCGTATCTCTGGGGGGAGCTCGTTCCAGATAGTAGGAGCCCCCACAGAGAAAGCTCTCCCCCTGGGGGCCGCCAGTCGACATTGTTTGGCCGACAGCACCCGGAGGAGCCCCTCTCTATGAGAGTGTACCGGCCGGTGGAAGGCTATTGGTGGTAGTAGGCAGTCCCGCAAGTACCCAGGTCCTGAGCCATGGAGCGCTTTAAAGGTGGTAACCAAAACCTTGAAGCGCACCCGGAAGACCACCAGGAGCCAGTGAAACTCGCGCAGGAGGGGTGTTACATGGGAGTGTCATGTCGCTCCCATTACCACCCGCGCGGCCACACTCTGCGCCAGTTGGAGCCTCCGGGTGCTCCTCAAGGGGAGCCCCATGTAGAGAGCATTACAATAGTCCAGGAGGGAGGTGACGAGGGCATGAGTGACTGTGCGTAAGGAGTCCTGATCCAGAAAGGGACGCAACTGGCGAATCAGGCGAACCTGATAAAAAATCCTCCTGGCCACGGCCGTCAAGTGCTCTTCTAAAGACAGCCATGAATCCAGGAGGATGCCCAAGTTGCGCGCCCTCTCCGTGGGAGAGAACAATCACAAACTTAGGTATATGCCTCTCTTTGGAAGGAGAAAAGCTTTATAGACATTGCTGGCTTTCTTCCCAATAACATATATGTAAATGAGTGGACCTAATTGTACTATTGGCTTCTCCTTGAGATCTTAGCTAGGCATAAGAGCAGTGGTGGAATCCAATTTTTTTTTACTACCGGTTCTGTGGGCATGACTTGGTGGGTGTGGCAGGAGAAGGATACTGCAACATCTCCATTCCCATCCCGCTCCAGGGGAAGGATACTGCAAAATCTCCATTCCCACCCCACTCTGGGGCCAGCCAGAGGTGGTATTTTCCAGTTCTCCGAACTACTCAAAATTTCCACTACTGGTTCTCCGAACTACTCAAAATTTCCACTACCGGTTCTCCAGAACCTGTCAGAACCTGCTGGATTTCACCCCTGCATAAGAGGTCTTCCCTCCCACCTAAGTCTTACTGCCCTGCTGTATTATTAGAAATTAAGACTTTTAGCACAAAGAACGTTGTCACTTTTCTCATCTCGTTAGGAATCTGTGGGTTTAAAAACCTAACTTCTAACAGCAAGTCATGGATGGTTTGGGGACAAATAAATCAGGAAGTGAGACAAGAACTTTTATTATCTCTATTACAAAGGAACAGAACAGGAACAGGAAACTTCTGACCTCAGCAGATACAATAAAGTTCAGTGTCATCTAGTGGCTAGGGCTGGCAATAGAGTGGCCAGTCTCTTGCTTTCACAGACATGTGCATTTATGTATTTATTCAATTCTATACCATGTTTCCCCGAAAATAAGACCCTTCTTATATTTTTTTGAAGCGCTTGGCCTTATTGCCATACACTCAAAAGCCTGATTGGGCTTATTATCAAGGGATGTCTTATTTTGGGGAAACAGGGTAGCTGCCCATCTCAATCAATGACTCAGGGTGGCTTACAATTCGAATATACATATACATATACATATACATATACATATACATATACATATACATATACATATACATATACATATACATATACATATACATCGGGGATGCATGGCTCAGTGGCTTAGACGCTAAGCTTGTCAATCAGAAAGGTCGGCAGTTCGGCGGTTCGAATCCCTAGCGCCGCATAACAGAGTGAGCTCCCATTACTTGCCCCAGCTTCTGCCAACCTAGCAGTTCGAAAGCATGTAAAAATGCAAGTAGAAAAATAGAGACCACCTTGGTGGGAAGGTAACAGCGTTCTGTGCTCCTTTGGCGTTTAGACATGCCGGCCACATGAGTATGGAATTGTCATCAGACAGCTCTGGCTCTTTGTCTTAGAAACGGAGATGAGCCCCGCCCCCTAGAGTCGGGAACGACTAGCACGTATGTGCGAGGGGAACCTTTACCTTTTCCTATATACTGTATATATCACCATTGTTTATGTCTAATTCCCTGGTTAAGCTTACTGTATCTCTTTATTAACAGAATTCAGGTTGTACTATTAATTACAGTACAATTGTACAATACGGTACAATTCAAGGTGTTGGTTATTATCTTTAAAACCCTACATGGCTCAGGGCCAGGCTATCTTCGAGACTGCCTTCTACCACATAGCTCCCAGCGACCGGTAAGATCCCACAGAGTTGGTCTCCTCTGGGTCCCGTCAGCTAAACAATGCTGGCTGGCAGGTCCGCAGGGGAGGGCCTTCTCTGTGGCTGCCCCAGCTCTCTGGAACCAGTTACCTCCTGAGATCTGGACTACCCCCACCCTATTGGCCTTCTGGAAAGCGGTGAAGACCTGGCTTTTCCGGCAGGCCTGGGGCCGTTGATCTCGCTGTTGCAATCTTGCGAGATCCGGCCCTGAATGGTGTGCATGGGCTTTTAATGTTTTAAAATGTTTTCATAATGTTTTTAATAATTTTCTATGTTCATTGTCGCATTACTTTTGTTGTAAGCCGCCCAGAGTCCCTCGGGAGTTGGGCATCATAGATATGTGATAAATAAATAAATAAATAAATAAATAAATAAATAAATAAATAAATAAATAAATAAATACAGCAACTGAGACTGTAATTAAATTGGGGAGGGGAGGGGATCTGATCACCTATTACATCTCAGCTGTTTTGATTTGTTGAGTACCAATGCAACTGACTAAATTCCTCCTGGCAATAGTTTTAAATACAAAACACATTCCAAACTTTTAGATTTTACTATTTTAAACTTTGGAGTAGGGAAAAAAATATTGAAGAGAGAGCCATCGAAAATAAAAAAATATATAAATGATTCAATATTTATAACAATTGTTCTTTTCAAAGGTAAACTACTGAAACATAATAATTAAACCCATTAGATGTTAACATAAACTCTCTGAGGAGGATGAGTGGTTGAGAAGTGTCAAATATAAATAAATAAATTTTCATGAAAAACCCTATATTTAAAAAAAATAAAAAAACAATAAAAAGAAAGTGACATTTTTAAAAATTATTTAAAATTCTTGCAAATATCTTTAAGATCTAGCAAATAATTTTGATTTCACGGACCTCTGAGAGAGGGAGAGTCCCCAGGAGTCCTTGGACCACACTTTAAGAAATGTTGCTCTAAGGCAGTGGTTCTCAACCCTCCTAATGCCGCGACCCTTTAATACAGTTCCTCATGTTGTGGTGACCCCCAACTAGGGGTGGGTTCTAAATTTTTTTACTACCGGTTCTGTGGGCGTGGCTTGTTTTGTGGGCGAGGCTTAGAGGTCATGTGACTGGGTGGACATGGCTAGCTGGTCATGTGACCGGATGGCCATGGCTATGTGTATAGGGACTACTCAGAGGGCTCAAAAAAGTCATTTCTGACAGGTCCTCGCACTTTTGACTGGTCCTCACACTTATGACCATCCTCACATTTATGCCCGTGCAGCATTCTTAACAATCATGTCACTCATTTCACAACTGCTTCTCTTCACCATGGTGACAAGATAGGGCAAAAACGTAAAATGTGAGGACAGTCGTAAGTTCGAGGACTGGTCAAAAGTGCGAGGACCAGTCAAAAATAACTTTTTCAGCCCTCTGAGTAGTCCATATGCACAAAAGAACTACCCAGAGGGCTGAAAAAAGTGATTTCTGACAGGTCCTCGCACTTTTGACCGGTCTTCGCACTTATGACTCGTCATCATTTATGTCCATTGTAGCATTCTTAACAACCATGTCACTCATTTCACAACTGCTTCTCTTCACCATGGTGACAAAATAGGGCAAAAACGTAAAATGTGAGGACAGATGTAAGTTTGAGGACTGGTCAAAAGTGCGAGGACCAGTCAGAAATAACTTTTTCAGCCCTCTGAGTAGTCCATATGCATAAAAGGATACAGCAATAGAGAGGGATGAAGGAAGGGAAGGGAAATTAGAGTAGGAGGGAGGGTAAGAGAGGGAGAAGGAGAAAGGAAGAGGAAGTAGGGAGGAGAAAAAGAGGGGGAGGAAGAGAAAGTAAGAAGGAAAGAAAAGAGAGAGGTGGTAGGTTTGAGGAGAAAGATTGCTGTACAATAAAAAAGATGAAAGGGAACAAAGCCAACCCCAAACAAATATAAAGATATTAAGATAAAGAATGAATTGTTAAACTTTAAAGAATAAAAGAGAACAAATATGAATAAATAACAATAATTAGAAACACACATACAAACATACAATGTATTTTCTTTGAACAGAGTATTTGGCCGGTTCACAAATTTAAACAGTGTTTAGTCATTTCAATTAAAATTACAATTTCTATATTTCCTTTTTGCCATATTTATTCCTCATCTATTTTTGTAAAAAAACAATATTACCCTTCATCCTCATCTCTAATCTTAATCAAATTCAATTTTTCCCTTCTATTCTATATTATACCCCTTCCCATTGTCATATATTTTTATATCCATCCTCATATTGGTTAATTATGTAATATTACAGTTGTTTAATATAAATTCAACATTTTAATATAAATCAATTAGTTATATAACTACCTTTTTTGTATATTAATCAATATGAACATGAATATTCCAATTATTTCCATGCAATCCAATTTCTTACAAATCAATTAATTATATTTACCAATAATAATAAACCACATAATTTCCCCCATATATTCCTCCAAACCACAACTTAACCATTTCTGCTTTCAGAAATATACAATTAATAGTATCTCAATTATTACAATTCCCTAGTTAAATAGAGCTTTTTTTCTTTTGTGTTTTAAAATCTTGAACTCTCCTCTTTTTCCCTAAATTTCCCATTGTTTGCACCTATCTTTTTTGGTGAGGAAAAAGAAAAGAAATCTGGCTGCCTAATTTTCCAACCTTGCAGCAACAGCAAAGCAGTTTCAGTTTCGTTTTTCAGCAAAGCTAGGGGAAAAAAAATCTGCTCCAGGACTCTTTGCAAGGAAGCAGCAGAGCCCTGAGCAAAACAGCCGAGACAAATCAGCTGAGAGTCGGGAGCCGATCTAATCAAGGGCTAATTAGCCTATGCTGAAGCTCCGCGGGCCAATAAAATTACAAAAAAACACCGAACCATTTGTTAAATTGCTGGCTCGCCCGCCCCTCGCCCACCACTATTTATTGGCAATAAATAGTGGTGCGGAGGGGCGGGGCAAGCCAGCAATTTAACAAACGGTTCGGCTCCTAGAACCGGCAGAATTCCACCACTGGCTATAGGGCAGCCATTTGAAGCCCCGCGGCAAGAATTTGAACAGTTTTTTTTCCTCTAGCCATCAGCTGGGACTCAGGAGGCAGCAATAGATTGGGAGTGGGTGGGGTAAGCGAACGGCCGGCGATCCAACACAGCAGAGAGTGAGGGTGAGTGAAGGCGGGGGGGGCGAGAGAGGGCTTTGGCGACCCCTGTGAAATGGCCGTTCGACCCCCAAAGGGGTCGCGACCCCCAGGTTGAGAACCGCTGCTCTAAGGAAACACAGTGGGCCCTGGGTATCATTTCCAAAATTAATTATGCGAGTATCTATTTCTCTCCTTGTTCCATGATGCAGATTGTCAGCAAGCGAGCTGGAACCCAGTGTAGTAATTGCCAAACTACGACCACAACTCTTTGGCGCCGCAACATGAATGGAGAACCCGTATGCAATGCCTGTGGCCTCTATTACAAACTGCACAATGTAAGACAATAGGAAGAGAGTGGAGGAGAGTATATGTACATGAAAGAGAGGTGCTTGAGTGGGTGAGTGGGAGTTGGTTGTTTCCAGGAATATATTGGAAAAGGTCCCATGGGTTTAAAGGCATTTTATATATATATATGTAAGCCATCCTTGAATAGTTCGGGGAAAAGATCTGGGCGCTTATTGTCCTTATATGTCATGTAGTTCCACACTGTTTTGCTCATACCATCAACCATTTATGGCATGGCCTTAGATTTAGGCTGAGAGAATAACATCTTATCATAATGTAATTGTATTGTTTTAAATGTATTACAATAACGTAATACCTCTGAATATTATCCCCAGATGAATTTTCTCTGAGATCTTAATCTCACCTTCATTTTTTCTCATATTGATACCATACAGGTGAATCGCCCCTTGGCAATGCGCAAAGATGGGATCCAAACACGGAACCGCAAGGTCTCTTCCGCCAAATCGAAAAAGCGCAAAGGAAATCCTGGGGAAACCACAATCCCCGCAAACACACCCTTGGAGATGATGCCCTCTTCCTTGATGGGGGAAGAAGCTGCTGCCCTCTATCCTCTCAGCCCCATGATGCTACCAGGACATTTGCTCCCCTTTGGGGCCAATCCACACTTTCTAGGATCTCCAGCAAGTTTTCCTTCACAGGCTTCCCCTGTCCCACATGGTTCCCCAGGTATGGTCTCCGCTCTGGTGTAAACAGCCTTGTAGCCTGTGCTCGCACACACACACTTTTATGTACAGAGACTTTGGGAACGTCAGTAGGGAGAAGAATCTCCTAAACAAGGATAACCTTTTGGCATAACTCCATTAACAGTTTGGCCCCTTGAAAATGGTCCCTGGGGGTGAGAACTGAGATTCCCCCAGGTTATCAGAGCAGAGAGAAAGTAACAGTGGGGTAATTCATATAAATAATGGAAGAGCTGGTGATAAAGGGGAAAAACTCTTTTCTGTGAAGGGATCCTTTTGAAGGGCCAGGATGGAATGTGGAAAGCTTCCTTCGGGGAGAAAACAATTGCTGACTATTAAAAAAAAAAAAACATGAGGGGAAAAAATTATGCTCACATTCTGGTTCCCAGGATCAATACTTTTATGTGTGAAAGTTTTAATTATTTGTTAGTTTCTTAATCCGGAAAGTCCTCAAAGTTTTGCCATTTTATTATACCCCTTCATCAACTGTTCATGCCAATTTGAATGCAGACTGAAGTAAGGTAATAATGCTCTAATAATCCAACTTGCTACCCCCCTCCAATCTGTAAATAACCAGTTCCATGACTATTTTCTTTCCTATCCACTCTGCAAGATATGCATTGTAACCCAGATGAGTATTTCTGACCCCAGAAACAATCTGTACCTGCTTCGCCTTACAACTAAGTATTTCTTGACACATGACATTTGTGAAAGCACTGTGGATGTGAGTGGATGTTTCACCCTGACTGCATGGCTATAGATCTATCCTAAGAATTTCTCCACCATCAGCTCCACTATTGTCACCACTTGGCTCATTGAATTGGTCCATCATCAGCAGGAAGCATCATTTTGAACACCACCATTGACTTCATATTTGAAAGGCTGACAGATACAGAACTCCAATCTGTTGCTTGTGAAAATTAGGGTCTTATTGACTCCAGTTGCCACCTGATGGAGAACTGATTCTGCCTTTTTCATTTAGACATTCACTTTGGTTCTAGTTTAATTTCCTTCTATATGATCAAGCCTGTGATACTTTACATATGTGACAAATCTTGGACATTGTAGAAAGACCATTTTGAAGGAACATCCTCCCAAAGGTTAAAGCCTATTTGTCCTCACAATTTTTGTTCCAAGGACTCGCTTCTCAAATGCACGTTTTGTGCATCAGCAGTGTGTTTTCTCCCTTCTTTATTTGAAATAGGGCTCCACTTTAAAACTGCTTATCCCAGCGATAGTTCTGAACCAAGAAATGGTCTGGTTATTTTTTTGTAGCCCTTTTTAAAAGGTGCTCCAGTGATATGTTTTGAATCTATGAAGAAGGAAACATTTCTTAATTGTTTAAACATAACTAATCTGAATAATAGCTCTTTCTTTTTAGCCCATTTCCTACCAATGGGAAAAATATATGCTTTCTTTGTGAATAGAAAATTCACTTAGATAAACTAGACCAAAGCTTGCTCAGGATTATTTGCAAGAATCTTAACTCCCAACAGTTAGCTGGCAACTATGTGATCCCCTCAAATTCTCCTATAGAGTCATTTCTTTCTTTCTTTCTTTCTTTCTTTCTTTCTTTCTTTCTTTCTTTCTTTCTTTTTCTTTCTTTCTTTCTTTTTTCCTTTCTCTTTTTCTTTTTCTTCCTTCCTTCCTTCCTTTCTTTTCTTCCTTCCTTCCTTCCTTCCTTCCTTCCTTCCTTCCTTCCTTCCTTCCTTTCCTTTTCTTTCTATGTCTTTGCTTTCATCTTTTTCTTATCATGCCAGCCCATTCATAAACACATCTGTCCAATATCACTATATTCTTCCCTTGAATGAGTTATTTTTACTGTACTCTCACCTCTGAAACACTGCAGTAGAGGAAAAGAGAGGACATAATCGTGTTATGGTAAAGATACTTACAGGATTTGTCTTTTTTATATATACTCTAATCTCTTTGCCAGATTTACATATTTGCTGGGTTTATATATTTCTATGGAGTTTCCCTTATATATTAACAACAGAGGGAAAAGGTTGAAATGCATTTTCTTCAGAGGCGACTTCAACATGACATGAAGAAAGTTCCCCCAAAGAATGACCATTTTCGCTTAAGTGTCTTTGAAAATTATTTGTACCATTAAATGTATGTTTTAAATGAAATCTCATGAGGAAATGGGAAGTACTTTTTCTTTCTTTCTCTGTCTTCTCTCTGATGCAAAAAGAATGCTAGCCCTTGATATTCTCACAGCAGAAAATTGACTTAATGCAAGCCTCCTTGGCCAAATTTAACTGGAGATGGTTGAAAATGTTAGTTGGCACACCCTGACCATTTGTGGTAAGTGATCATGTTATTGGCAAGATAAATTGATTTGGGTAGGTAGGAAAACATGCTAGTTATTGTGGGGTCACTCAGCCTATAGCTCTTCAGGTGAATGATCTTTCCTGAGCACTAAGCACTGAGAGCAAATTCAGAGAAATGCTATCCACACTCTGCTTGATGGATCTCAACTGGCATACGGTAGCTCTAAAATAAAGGATAAGAAATCCAGTGATGAATCCAGCAAATACAGCTTAGTGGAGCAAGGATCAAATCCAGGTATCTTCCAACTCAGATTTTCCTTTAATTCAGAGGGGAGCACAGTTCAAAGTTCAGTGCTATTGAATACAATCATCATTGGAAGTGTGATCAATACTGAACTTACTGACACGCATCAGAACACTGCATCTTCCTTCCCCACCCCGTAGGTTATACATGTAGTCCTTGACTTACTACCACAATTGAGCCCAAAGTTTCTGTTGCTAAGCAAGGCAGTTGTTAAGTGAGTTTTGCCCCATTTTACATCCTTTCTTGCCACAGTTGTTAAATGAATCACTGCAATTGTTGAGTTGATAACACGCTTGTTCAGTGAATCTGGCTTCCCCATCGACTTTGCTTGATCTGAAGGTCACAAAAGGGGATCATATAACCCGGGACACACTGCAACCGTCATAAATATGAATCAGTTGCCAAGCATCTAAATTTTGATCACGTGACCATGGGGATGCTGCAATGGTCGTAAATGTGGAAAATGGTCACAAGTCACTTTTTTCAGTGCCATTGTAACTTCGAACAATCACTAAATGAACTGTTGTAAGTCAAGGACTATGTGTATGTTACTGGCTTCAGCTTTGCAATGAGTTCTGAATGCACTGAGATATATCTTAATAAGAAAGATGTCAACTTGCAAAGCATTCCTGGCCTGCTCTCGAGTTGCCATAGGCAAGGGGGATGGGAAACTGACATAGCAGTATGGAAGCCAAAGACAGGAGCACATTCCACACATTTCTTTCTCAAGGCTGTCTCCCAGAGTTACCTACAGCAGTCGGAGGGAAGTGATCTCTACAATCCGCAAAAAGAGTTTTCTGAGCATGTACAAAAAGTCTTCCTCTGAGTCACTGATTTAATCACAATCACATGTGCAAGGTTTTTTTTTTTTTAAGATGGATTTGCTTGTTTAGATTTAGTAAAATGGCTTAAAAGCACAGCAGGGGGACTGGGAGGCTAAAGAAATATTGTGGAAGAAAACAATAACAACATCTCAATCTTTCGGTTAAGAACAGCACAGAGATTTGTGCATGACGTTGTCAGGGTCAAGCTTGATTTGAAGGAGACTTTACTTTTTATACTATAGTACAGGTACAGCTAATAATTCACATGAATTCAACTTCATGTGAATTTGTAAAATTTGTACCTGCTTAGGGAACCATATGGGAGGCCTCTTTTCATATGTCTTTTTTTTTTTAAAGGGAGATGGAAGAGAGCAAGAATCCAATTGCTTTGATTTGCTTCTACTGTATAAAGTTTTTTCAATAAAAAAGTACTTGCCAGAATGCCTGGATTAATAGTTTAAAAAATAACCTTGTTGTTACTCCTTTCCTATATTACTTATTAATCTGCGCTCAGGCAGACTTTGCTCCTTGAATCTCTTTCTTTCTTTCTTTCTTTCTTTCTTTCTTTCTTTCTTTCTTTCTTTCTTTCTTCCTTCCTTCCTTCCTTCCTTCCTTCCTTCCTTCCTTCCTTCCTTCCTTCCTTCCTTCCTTCCTTTTACAGCCAAACAGGCATGCTTCACACTTATGGTTTATTTAGTTTCAGATATATCCAACACAAGTAATGGTCCAGCAAGGGTTCATTGGGGTTGTTTCTTCAGATATGATTTTTGAGAACACCATCTTTAACAAATGTTTTCTGAGGAAAAATGTCTTGCCTTTGCATTTCTGATCCTATTAGGACTGAAAATGAACAGAAGTCTAAGATCCCATGCTACTGTCATTCTTTCATTCTAAGGCCAGATAGTAACTACTGAAGGTTAGTTACTAATACTCAAGGTTAGTTACTAATGCAATGGAGCCTGATGATTCTTGTCATTCTCTTTAATTAATTTACCTGGCCTGTTCCCAAGGACACTAAATAGACTTCCTTTTTAGCAAAAAAAAATTTTTTGGATGTGTTTGAATTATGGTCACTGGTAATCTCTCTCCCTCCAAATTAACTGAATAAAAGCGGCCCTAAATTTAATAGTTGCTCTGATGTTATTGCTGCCGATATCCTCCCCGGCGCAGATAGCCCCCTTCATTGTTACGATAGCCATCCTTTTGGTCCTGAAAGTAGCCATTGTTAAGTGCCTTGCTTCTAGTCAAAGACCCTCTCATTGTTTTCCACAAGGCTGCCCAGCTTCTCAGCCAGCTGCAATGACAGGTTTTGTTGGGTGGTGGGCTCTGTTCGATGCACCACAACTGTCTGGGTTGGCTGATCTAAGGAGGCCATCAACTCTTCATTGAGGATCATCTTGCTAATGATGCTGTGCACGGTGGGCAGGTCCAGCTCAAACATTGCCCCTTGAATCTTTCTGATTTTGCTTGCTGCTTGAGATGTCTGAGAGACTTCTTCAGGAATGTTCCCCGCCCCCCTCCAATCCTAGTCTACTTTATACCCCTGCAATTCCTTTTATCCAAGTAACAATCATCCACCCTGGCTAGCTTTTTGATAGCTAGGGAGCTGTCACTTAGATGGGGTAGAGTTGTGCTATCTCTTTCTGCTTTGCTTCTTCAAGAAAGTGCCATTTAGTTAACCATGGAGGTGGAACTTCAGCAAATTTACTTGATTGTTGATTCTCATCTTGTTTTGATCATGAGATGATTTCCTTAAGTTGTAACTAAAATTTAGGAGAATCCCTCCAAAGTCAGCCATAGATTCTCTTGAAGCACGGGTAGTGAAGAGTCTTATCAACCAACATCTCTGCTTCTCTTTTTCCCATATGCTTCAACAGAGCCATCAAAGGAGGCTGTGGGATGTTATCTTGCCCATCAAGTCACTATGAGATCATTGCTTGTTCCCCCACGCAATCCTCTCCTTTTTGGATAAAGGGCTGGCAGAGCAACTGGGAACAAAGTTTCCAGGGTTGCAAAAGACAGAGAAGGATGCAGATTGGCGGGCATCTCTCCCCCTCTCCTGCCTCCCACCCACACATAAGCTTCATTTATCCATCCAGCAAAAGTTCATGGCTGTGTTATACTGCCTTACTAAGGCACATCCTTCTAACCAAAGGAAGTTAATTAGCTGGAGAAGCCAAAAGATTTGAGAGCACAAATTCATGATCTTACCTGCTAATCAGAGTTGGGTCCAATTCTGACATAGACACTGTAAATACTTGGCACCTGTATCAACTTGTGGTTCTTAAATGAACCTTGTTTTAATGTTGGGTTTGGAAAGTCTTTTAAGAATACTAAACATTGTTTTTAGTTTTTGTTTTATACAACCACTCTGAGTTCCTCCAGAAGGAAGTGTATTAATACATAATAGGAAAAATAGTAATGATTAGAAAATAATGATGATGATGATGATGATGATGATGATGATGATAATGATGAAAATGATACACTGCCAGACCTGTGTCCAAAGGCAGCTCTGAACACTTAGATTTTTTCCACTTTCCCCATAGTCATTACCATAAATTCTCTGTCAACTCAAGCACTACCGATAGCTAGTTCACAAACTGAACAACAAAATGCACACAGGACAGTACGCAATGACATGCACTGTTGATATATTAACTTCAGTTCTCATCATCCAAGTAGCACAACCATGTTTCAGGTAGTGCTATCAGCAGTTAAAGCAATACTAAAGCTCAAGACCATGAAAAACAGTAAAAGAGATTCCAAGTATTCCAACAGGCCAGAGACAATGCCTGATTTTTTAATATCTACTTCTGATAAATCTATTTGATTCTTGCTTTGGAGAAATGATCTCTTAATTAATTAATTATTTTTTTGTTATTTTGCTTTGGAGAAATGATCACTTAATTAATTAATTAAATTTTTGTTATTTTGCTAACATTGTTAACCTGGACTACTTATTTGAGCAAGAAAGCAAATGAATTAATTAACTAAATTAATTAATTAATTCTCTTGCTTTTTTTTCTCAAGTAAGTACTCCAGGTTAACACTGTTAGCAAAATAACAACAATATAAAATAGCATGCATGGAAATTTAATTAAAAGTTATATGCCCAGCAAAAATGGTGCATCTTAAATGTTCTTCTAATGTGGAAATGTGGGGGATATGTGCAGCTCCCATGGGGGAACATTTAATAGCCTTTTTACTGGTTGAGAAGATGAGCCATCATTCTCCACAATTTCTAAAACAATTGCATCTCTGTGTGGGAGTGGATGCTTCATATTGCCAGTGCATATGATTATGAATGAAGAGACAAAAATCCTGGGAGTAAACTCCTATCGTGAATCATCAAAAAACTATCATTCTTGCTTTTTCATTCCTTTATAATCTTACATTCTTTCCTTCATGAAGAAATCTGCAAATGTTAGTAAGCCCTAAAAGAATGAACAAATAAATTTTGTTAGCTTCAGCCAAATTTACCATAATAGCCACAGCCACCCTCAGCATTGAGATAACTGTATTGAATCTACTTGCCTTCTAATTCCTAAGGAGAAGCTAAGGAAGAAGTTGAGAAGAAAGAAGTAGAAATCTTCATTCTGAAGAAAATTTTAACTTATTGAGGTTTTCCTTTCTATATTTTACATTTTATAATTGGCAATGAGGTGCCTTTGTTTTGGAAGCATTTTGGGCCAGATTGCATATCTCATTTCTTTTCTTTCTTTTTCTCTTTTTGCATATATG